TCCTTAGAAGGACGAGGCCAGCCAGGGTGGGAGACCAGGGCTGCTTGCTGTCCCGCTGCCACAGGTGTGGGCATGACCTTTGGTCCTTGGATTTCAGGACCACCAACAAGGGCTTCGGAGCCCCTTCCAACAATGTCACGTGGTTCCCTTGCAGTCAACATACCCGAGGGCACGAGCGACACCTCCCAGAGCTCCACATGTCACAGGGCGACTGATACGGGCTTCACGACCCTCTGTGTGCGTGTAGTGTGCACGCTTCTGCACGCACACGCATCCGTGCCCGGGTGTGCCCGTGTGTGGGCTGGCCTGCGCACGTCTGTCTTGGGGTGCTCAGGAGATGAAGGAGAAGGCAGAGATTGAGAGAGGACGGTGGCTGCATCTTCACCCAGAATTCTCTGTGTGGGATCGAGAGGAAGGGGCAGCCCTCTACCCCGCACAGGCTCCCGAACATACAGATCCTCTGAAGGCTGGAGCAACACAGGCGGAAAGTGAGAGGTGGCTGTTTGCCCAGGGGGGTTGAGGGGGAGCCCCGCTGCGATGGGCAGGCGACTCTGGGCCTGTCTCAACAGGGACTCTGAGACTCACCAAAGGCTCTGCAGGCCCTGACTGCTCGCTCCATCGCAACCCTTGATGGGCACTTATGGGTGCTGACTGCGTGCCTGGCCTGGGGGCAGGGCGGGGGTGGGTGGGCAAGTCCTCTGCCCTTTCAGAGGAACCTAAAGTCCGAGAGGAAAGAGTGCCCAGGAAAATGGAGTTTGGGGATCTGAGGCGTGAGTGGTGTGGTCTGTTGGGTGTGTATGTGGGGGGTGAAGGCTGCCGAGGAAGGCTGGGAGGTTAAGGAGGGAGATTTGAAGGTTAGAGACTGATGGGGAGAGGGAGGGCCCCTATTCACAGAATCCTAGAATGTGAAAGGTCTTTGGAGATTACCTCATTCAAGTCTAGTTTATACAGAGGGAAACTGAGGCCCAGGGACAAGGGATGACTTACCCAAGACAGTGATGGAGTCAATCCGAGTCCATTCAACAAGTAGTTCCTAAGCCTATGCGGCACCAGGCAGAGGACTCAGCCTTAAATAAGGGCCTTTCTTGCCTCAGTTGGCCGTGGTCTGCTGGGGCAATGGACACACAGACAGATAAGCACCACCCAGTGCCACGATTGTGACCATCAAAGTGTGTACGAAGCAGCAGAGTGAGGGGGAATGGAGGACTATTATCTAGGCAAGACCTCTTGGCAGAAGCAGCATCTGGGTTGGGCTTTGAAGGATGAAGAGGAGTTCAAAAGGCTGAACAGGGAAGGAAGGGATTAGTTTCCAGGTGACCAGGCATTTTGAGTTGGTTTCTGTTTTTGCCACCCCCGAAGGCAGCCACCAGTCTGTCCTCCATGGCACCCCATTCTCTTGGAGACCCGAAGCAGGCTGGGATGGCAGGGGGGCTTTGGTGTGTTTCTGTCCTGAGGCAGGGGAATGGATTCCGGGTTTCCCAGGGCCCCAGGTTTAGCCTGGTTGCAGGGCCTTGATTCAACCCCCTTCCATTCAGTCAAAGAACATTGACTGGGCACCAATTATGGCTAAACCTTAACCAGTGGGAAGGATTTCAAGAGGCAAAGAGGAAAGAAGAGCATTCCAGAAGGGAACAGCATGAGCAAAGGTGTGGTTGCTGGAAAGCAGGGGTTTGTTCAACAAGTATCTTCTATTTTGTGTGGCTGGCGCAGGGGGCATGAAGGGAGCAGTTCAAGACGTAGCTGGAAAGATTGGCTGGTGCTGGAGCTGGAAGGTTCTAGGGAAGAGTTTGGGTTTTAATCTGTGGCAAGAGGGAGATGCTAATGGATTTTGAGTAACAGCAAGTCCCTCAAGAGCCCAAGACTGGGCTGGGAACTTAAGAGAACCCAGAAGCCTCCCGGGGAGCCAGGAGATGGCCCCCCTGGACACGGTGTGCTGGCAAATGCTTAATAACCAGCTCTGCTGGGGGAGAGGGTGGCCATCCAGGGATGGATTTCCACAACGTAAAAGCTCCCACCAGGGCCAATTTCAAGCTTCCCAGCTGACATCAATAGGCTTGGAATGTTCCAGAAAATTTAACAGTTGGCTCTCCCATGCTGGTATGAGTTGACTCCTGCACACCGTGTCCCCCAGGGTTATCAGCTGTAATTCCCAGTGCTCAGCCCCCTTCTCTCCAGGTTCGCTTCCAGTGTGACCTTCACGTGGGAGCCCAGGGATGGTGACCTACCTGAGAGGTTTGTCCACGCTCAGGGGGTTCTGAGCCCCCAGGCCCTGTGGGTTTGAGCCTTGGCTCAGCCGGTCCCTTGCTGGGTGACCCAGGCCCACCCCTCATTCCTCTGGGCTGACTTGCTTTGTGGGGTCCTTCTGGGCTGAGCTGATGATGCGGAGGGGAAGTGTGGGTGGCAGAGGACGGAGCCAGGGAGGGCTCGGGAGCATGGGCGACCGCTCCCTGGGGGTAGGGACCAACCCCACCCACCCCCAGCTCATTCACCTGAAAATCTGTCAGATCACCAGCTAGCACTGGGGCAGGAGGGGTCCTGTGAGGTGAGGGGATGGGGGACAGGGTGGGGGGCATTGAGAGCCACATGGGCTCTGGGCTATAGACCACCAATGCCTGAAGCCCTGCCAGGGGAAAGCGGGTTTCTGGGCCTTGATACAAGTTGGTTCCTCTGCCTGGTGCCACCCTCTCCCTCCCCATCTCTTGGCAAACTCCTACTCATCCGTCAGGCCTCAGCTTCAGCGCACCTCTTCCAAGAAGCAGGGGCTAAGAGCACAGGATCTCTGAAGCCCTGGATAATCTTAGTCTTTCTCAGCCTCATCTGTAAAATGGGAACAATGATACTGTGTAGCTTGTAGGATGGCTCTGTGAGAAGCACTTGGCACACAGAGCCCTACTTCTGATCATTGTGATAGTATTATCGCTCCTTAGTTACTGCCCCTTCCCCCACGTCCCTCCTAGGTAGGCTTGGCCTCTGAGTCCCCACCATGCTTGGTGGTTACCCGTTCAATCAGGTGGTGATTATGGCCATGTCTGTCTCTCCCGCTGGACAGTGAACCCCTGAAGGTGGGGATTGGGTCTGATTGGCCTGGAGGCTCCAGAGCACAACCCGAACCTGGCCCCGGGCACAAGCCCCGCACTGTTTTAGGTGAGGGACTGACCCTGGCCAGGTCCCTGGCCTTGGCTGCGACACTGACCTGCTCGGGGTCCTGGCCAAGCAGCTGCTCCCCATGGAGGCTGGGTTTCCTCATGTGTGACCTGGATGACCTCTGAGGATACTTCTTCCAGCCCCAAAACGCTGTGAGCCCATGTCCCAAACCCGAGTCACCATCCTGCCCCTGAAGCAGCCCCCACCCACTTCCCTGCTCCATCAATGGCTCCACTGTTCCCCAGTGACCCAGGCGTGAAACTTCAGAGTCATTTTTGACTCATCCGCCTCTTTATCCCCTCATGGCTAATCATCAGCCACGACAGTTTTTCCTTCAAAATGTTGCTCACATCCATTGTCCCCTCTCTGGGATTCTGGTCTCCTCGTCTGCAGCTGGGATGATGGTGCCCACTTTCTGACTGGCCAGCATCCTCTCATCGCCCATCATGGCTGTGTCCCCAGCAGAGCTCCTGAAATGCCACCGCTGTGTCCCCCCTGGAAATGCATGCCTGTCCCCAGGCGGGGGATTAGCAGCCCTCGAGTCTGTCAGCAGGGAGGCTGGGTATGCCTAGGAGAGACTGGCAGGAAGAGGGGCCCTGAGTGGAGTATGGGGGTGCAGTTCCCAGGTTGCCGTGGCTTGTCTCCGAGAGCTCACGCACATCTGCGTGCACATCTGTTTGAGAGACCCAGTGCTGAGTGTGAGGCAGGGACTCCGGGGTGGTTGGACAGAGCCTGTCCACACGGAGCTCACACCCGACAGGCCCCATACTGTGGGGTGTACAAGGGGCCGTGGGTGCTGCTCCCTCGGCCTGGAATCAGGAAGCTTCACAGGGGAGAGACAGTTGGTTCTTGAGAATGGTGTTTCCAGCCCGGAAGCAGCCTACCTGTGGAGCTGTAAGAGGGCCCAGGAGGTGTTTGGGGTGGCCAGTGCTGGGAGGGCTGAGGATGGCAGGGTGGGAGGCAGTGAGGCTGAGCAGGGCTGGGTTGGCTGGGAAGGGGCCCTTGCTGGTCGGAGGTGAGCAACCTCAGGGACCCCTTCCTGCCATCTCTAATTCAAGTCCCCTGAATAGAGCTGACTCCCCGACCCTGGGAGGCAACTCCGTTCTGTAAAAATCAAAGTGACACTCTGTGGCCCCGCACTCTACAGTTTACACTGTGCTGGCCTTCCCTGGTTCCTGGTCTGGCTTTAACAGCCCCAGTGCTGGGCAGCTTATCCCTCCCATTTGACAGGTGAGGAAGCTGAGGCCCATAGAGGGGAAGGGGCTTGTCCAGGGTGACCAGCTAGTTTTCGCCAGAGTGAAGCCTGGGATTTCCCTGGCCCTGGATGCCAGACTCTAGAGGTTGAAGGGAGGGAGGGAGGGAGGGAGGGGCTCAAGCTCCAGGGCCCATGTCCTCCTGGGGAGGGGCTGGCTCCGTGGGACCCAGCTGGGGGGACAGGCCCAGCTGCTGGGAGGCCGGGACTGAGAATTGTGCCCACCAGGCCTCAGCAAGGCAAACCCTGCCGGGCTGGAGCAGCCTCTGGGGCCGAGCCCCCTGCCTGGGTGCCCTGGGGTGGGTGTCGGCCCGAGGGAGCAGGAGGGACTGGGTGGCGGATTTGTGTTTCCACTTGATTCCCTCAGTTGTTTTTCAAGAGCTGTGGCAGGATCCCGAGGGGCGGGGCGGAGGCGGGGGAAACCTCAGGAAGGCAGGAAGGCGCGGGATGGGCCCCCCCACCGCCGCCCGCCCCCCATGTGACTCCTCTGACTGACGACAGTGCCACATGGAAGGGCCTCGAGGCTTCCGTCCTGCGCTGGCAGGACGAGTGTGTGACGTGGGCCAGGGCACTGGGCCCACACTGGGTGACTTCCCGCGTGACCTGCACTGTCTCAATGCTCTTTCCGTTGGAGGCCAAGCCCTCTGACTGTGGGGTAGGAGAGGCCCGTGACCATCGCCTGACCCCCACTTCCAGCACAAGCCCAAGGGGCAGGTACCTGGGGCCAAACCCGGGCAGGGTCGGGGGTGGTGGTGCCCTGAACCCTGGGATTTTGTGCAGTGCCCCCCCGCCAGGTCTCCCAGTTGCCCTCCAGCCTGTCCGGCGGCCCCTTCTCAGCTCTGTCTGTTGTCCACAGCCAGGCCCCCTTCCTCCTGCTGCCTCCCCCCACCGTTTCAGGCCTGCTGCCTTGCCACAGGCCATCCGTCTCTCGACTTCCCCGGGCCTGGCCCTGCTGGGCTCGCTGTCCCTGCTGATCGAGTTTCCTGTCTTCCAGAACTGCCCACATCCTGGGCCCTGGGCCTGGCCTCTCCCCTTCCACTCACCTGTGTGTCCCGGTCCTGTCTGTCCTTCTCAAGTGGTGGCAACAGTGGGGACAGCTACTCTTAGCTTCGGAATCTGCTTAGCCATCTTAAGCTGTGTGGTGGCAGCTGAGTCCTGGCCCTTCTCTGGGCCTCAGCTTCCTCCCCAGTGAAGCGGGGCTGATAGTTACAGAGCCAGCAGCCTCCCAGCACTAGATCTGACGAGGCAGGTGCCCGGCACAGGGTGGGGTGGGGGAGGTAATGGAAGCGCTCAAAGGAGCCAGGCCTCACACCAGCTGTACAACCCTGGATGATACTGACATTTCTCTGAGCCTCAATTTCCTCCTCTGTGAAATGGGTATAATAATAGTTCCTTCCCTTGGGACTGAATGAACTATTCCCAGGGGAGGGATTCTCCATCTGGCCCGGGGTGAGGGAGGGCTTCCTAGAGGGGCAGCCCTCATGGCTCTGGACAGTGATTGGCCAGCAAAGACTCCAGAGACAGTGCTCCAGGGGAGGTAGAAACCAGGAGCTTTAAGCTGAGACTGGGAGGGGGGAGGTGAGACCTGGGGATCCCACCCCAGTCTCCCACCCTGCCTCTCCAGCCAGGGGGCTGATGTCACTTCCTGCTCTGCAAGCTGGCTCCCTTCTCTGTGCCTTTACTCGTGCAGGTCTTCTGTCTCCAGGCCCTCCTGCGCAAACCCTTCCCACCCCCCAGTACATACAACTATAGCTTGACTCCTCCAGGAAGCCTTCCCTGCCACGGCCGTCTCCCTCGCTCTCGTCAGCACTGCCTGCTATAGAGTCCACGGTGTTGGATTCTCTTGTAAATGGCGCACAGCCTGGAACCTAGCGGGAGCCCAGGAACCGCTAACCCCACCGGTAGCAGTCTCCGTCCATGCTGGCTCTACACCCACCCAGATGCCCAACCCTCGCTACCGTCCTACGGGGCCAGGAGGGATAAGGGACCATCCGACACTTGATGCAGAGGTCAGGGAGGTCAAGGGGCTGCCCGAGGCCCACAGCAAGGTGGGGAGCAGACAGGACCACAGCCCTCACTCGCGCTTTCTCTCTCTGTCTCTTCGTTTCTGTCTCTGTCTCTCTCTGTCACCTGCCCCCCGGTGCAGAGCCCCGGGCTGGGGCCTAGTAGGGGCATGTTTCCTTCCTGTTCAGCTGGAACTCCGGAGTCTGTCCTGCCTTTGTCCCTCTGGGCCATGCAGCCTTCCTTCCCTACCCCCTGGCCTGTCTGCCGTTGGAGGGTCCCCTGATACTGTCACTGTTCTCTGTAGCCACTGCCCCGCCCCACCCCACCGCTCCAGGCCGTGGCCGGGGCTGAGCTGAGGTACCCACAGTTGCCCTGGGAGCACACAGAGGGTGCAGGGAAAGCCCTCACTAGGGGTGGGGAGGCGCTGCCCCTTCCCAGCTGGTGACCCTGAGCTGTCACTCACCTCTTGGAGGCTCAGTTTCCACCCCCTGAAGAAGGAAGTGCCGCCTTTTTATGATCACATCAAACCCGCGAGGTGTGTGTGCTTTTACAGACGAGGAACCTGTGGCTCTGGGAAGCCAGGGACCGGCCTAAGCTGGGAGTTGGGAGCTGGGAGGTGGGCCCTGCTTTGCTGGGCCACTTGCAATATCTCAGCACCGTGGGATTCAGGGGGGGCAATGTCCTGAGAGTTCTTTGTGAGACTGTAAAAACTTCCCAAAGAAGAGGCTTTGTTCTTCAAGTGGGGTGACCATGGGCCAGGTTCACCCTTCAATGGTTCCACTGTGGGGGCCTGGAACCCCATGACTATGAACTGCTCCCGGCGGCGGGGGGGGCAGCCTTGCTCTCTTGAGGAACCTGCCTCTTTCCATCCTTAACATAGCAGGTGCTGGCTCATCACTAATTCAAAGAATGATTGGACCATACTTATGAGGGGGTGGGCAACATGGGGGGAGTAGCCACCAGGGATGGGAGCACATAGGGCGTGGAGGGCTGGTGGGTCTCTAGCCCTCACCCTTGACCTCTTACAGTTTATTCCTTGCATGGCAGTCACAGTGTCCTTGTTGACATGATACTCAGACCACACCACTCCCTGCTCCAAGCTCCCGTGGGCCCCTCACATGTTCCTCCAGCATCCCCCATGATCTGACCCCTGTTCTCTGGCCTCCCCATGTTCCCCTTGCTCCCTCTGCTCCCGCCACTCTGGTCTCCTGGCTGCTCCTAGACTCTCTGGCACATTCCCTCTTAAGGCCTTTGCACATGCTGTTCCTACTGTCTGGAACGTTCTGCCCCAGACATTCTTCTCTTCATTCAGCACACCCTTCCAGGGGCCTCCCCTGATCACCATTCCTAATGCACACCCTTCCTGTTGGTCCCTCCCCTGGCCCTGCTTTGTTTGCCATCATAGAGCCTGTGGCCACCGGACATTAGCTTGTATATTCGCTGGTTTATTGTCCAGCCTGACAAGAACATTCTCTCTGTGAGGGCAGGGGTGGTCTGTTTTGTCCACTGCTGTAACCCCAGAGCTGGGACAGTGCACATGACTAGTGCCCAACTCTTATTTGTAGAAGAAGGGAGGAAGGGGGGGTGAGGGAAAGACCTCTTTCTTCTGCTTATTCATGGAGTGCCTCCCCTGTGTGGCCCTAGGTTAGGTGTTTCTAGAACAGGTAGCATCAGCAGAGGGGACAGCAGCTCACTTGAGCCCAGCTGACCCCAAGGTAGCAATGGTCATTAAGTGAATATATGTGAAGTGCCCAGAGCACCATAGCTTTTTTTTTTTTGCCTTATTTGCTGTATTACCAGATGTGGTCTCTAGGAGCCTGAGAACCAGGGCTGGTGGGTGGAAAGTGGGGGAAGGGGAGAAAGCTGAGAAAGCTAGGGATGAAAGAGATTTAATTAAATTTTAGGAAAAATTTTCGAAAGGCAACACTGTGCAACAAGGAAGGGACTTCCTCAGGAGAAAATGTGCTCCCTGTCAGCAAAAGGAGGCAAGTGGAGGCTGGAGGCCCTGGAACTGGGTCCAACAAGCCTGAGGACCTGAAGCCATAAGATGTAAGGATTCAGGGGAGTCCTCCCCGAGGTTGGGGTGGGCCAGGCTCTGCAGTTGGAGCAAGCATGGGTCACTGGTCTGACCAGGCCCAGGCAGCAGAAGCCGTGGCTCCAGTCCCCGGGTCCAAAGGCTGCTGGGACTTGGCCAAGCAGCCATATTGGGCCTCTGGACCTGGGAACCGCAGACCAGGCCTGGGAGACAGGAAATCGCCCTGCTCAGGGCCCGAAAGGCCCCCTAGCATGCCCTTACTCCCTCCCCACCTCCCACAGTGGCCTCAGGCCCCTGTGCCCCGCGCCCATGGGGTTAAATCTCTCCCTGTCTCTCTCTGCTCCAAGTTGTTTTCCAAGTGAAGCAGAGAATGGTTCTCTTGTTACCAACATGGCTTCTGGGCATTGGGTAATGCGCTCCCTCTTCTCCCTGCTCCACTCCACAAAGGGACCTTTTGTTCCTCTCCCTGCCCCTCTCTCTGGCTCTTCCCCGGCCCCCCACCCACCCCGACTCCCTCCTCCCCACCTCCCGCCCCACACTGCACCCCTGGGCTGCGAGGAGTGACCGTGGTCTGGCCGCGGTGCCCTCCCTCTCCCGAGGCGCCCAGGGAGAGCAGGGGCCTTGTGGCCGTGGCGGCCATTTTGAGAGTGGCCATTCCAGGCGGCCCCTGGCTTCTGAGAGGCTTGCGGGGTTGGGGAAGCCACAGTGGGGTGGCTGGGGCTCAACAGGAGGTCTCGTGGAGCACCTCCTATCCTCCAGGGAGAAGAGGGACCCTCCCACTGGCCGCCCCGACCCGGGCCGCCTCCTTGCACTGAGACAAGACACCTTGCCACAGCCACCATCTTGCAGCAGCCCCCGAGGCGGGAGTCACCCCCCGCCTTCCGCAGGTGGAGACTCCGTGGGGTAAGTGTCTGCTCCAACCAGGGGCTCAGTGAGCAGGTGCTGCAGCCAGACCGAGCCATGTGCTCCCCCCGCCCCCCCCACCTCTCCAGGGAAGAGCCCTCAGAATATGCCCTGACCGATGGGAAACACTGAGATGGAAGCCTAAAACCAAATTTCCTGGAATTTTTTTGGAAATGGAGCAGATTGTGCCCAAGATGGGAGTGTCAGGAAGGCAGGCAGATGCTGAAGTGTCGCTCTCAGGGAATTCCATCTCTGTCCACTGTCCCCTCCTTTGCCCCCTCACACAGTCCTGCAAGACAGGCAGGCACAGGCTGACGACATTTTTCAGATGAGGAAACATGCACAGAGCGGGTACATAGCCAGGACTTGGCGCTCACCCAACCGACTCCAGCTCTGGTTGTCTCTTTGCAGGGCGGCTGCCCACCCCTGCGGAGGCCCAGGGGCTTGGGGAGGAGGCTCAGGTCGGTCACGGCAGCCCAGCCAGCCTGTCTGTGATTGAGGAGGTTGTGCTCAGGTGCTCAAACATCCCCCAGTTCCTCCATCTCACTCTGTCCCCGTGTCTGCAGAGCCGTGGAACAGACCCCGCGTGCCGTGCACTCACCTGTAACCACCGAGCTGGGTCTGGGGCCTTCGGGCCACAGCAGGAAGAGGTAAAATGAGTAGATGGGGGACGGACGGACGGATGGATGGATGGGCGGCTGGGGGCAACAGAGAGAGAGGGGGAAGATTTATTCAGAGTTGAATACATCCCTGGGCCTGCCCTCAAGGAGCCACAGTCCAGGAGGAGACATAATTCAGTGAAGAGCCAGCGGGCTGCAAGGCAGGGCGCCTGCGAGCTCACCCACTAGCTGGGAGGTTGAGGAGGGAAGGCTTCTTGGAGCAGGTGACTGAGGATGGGACCTGAAAAGACGAGGATAAGTGAACTAGGCAAAGAAATTGAGACAGAAGGTGGGAAAGGGGCTGGCATAGGGGGTGGGGCTGGGGCCGGGGAGGAGAAGGTGAGTGGTGTGTAATGGGGTGAAGGGCCCACACCAGTGTGTCAGAGCAGAGTGGGGTCAGGGAAGGTGGGAGAGGTGGGCAGGGGAGGAAGCGTGTGGGCTGCCGAGGGCAGTCGGGGGGCTCCTGCGGACTAGGATGCCCCGATAAGGTACATGAACTAGATCCTGAGGGCAGTGGGGTCAGATTTCAAGGGGTCAGATTTGTGTTCTAGAAAGATCATACGGGCTGGGTCTGTGCCAGTCTGGTTTATTACTGTTTTCCCAGCAACCACCTCAGTGCCTGGCATACAGTAGGTGCTCAATAAATGTTTTGAATCAATACACGAATACCAACAGTGTACCCCGAGGTAGTGGTTAACCGCAGTTGTAGGACCTTGGGCCTCAGCTCCCTCGTTTGTAAAACGAGGGTCACAACACCCGTCTCTTGGGGGTGCCGAAATGGCGAAGGGACGGAGGGCATGGCAGGGCTTTGCTCAGTGTCCTGCATGAGGTTCGCGCTCCGTACCTGGTATCTTTCTGTTATGTGCGCAGGATGCGCTGTGGGCGAGACGGAGGCGAGGAGCAGGTGGGGAGGGGCGGAGTCATCCGGGCGAGAGGATGATACCAACGTTGATCAAGGGCTTAAGGTCTTCGAGCGTTTTACTCTTATAATCCTCAAAACAAGCTAATGAAGCAAGCATTATGGTCACCCCTGTTTTATTGTCCAGGAAACCGAGGCACAGAGAGGTGAAGTGATTTGCCTGAGGCCCCGAGGCTGGTGAGTGGGAGACGGAAGTGCCCTGGACACCAGAGCCCAGTGACCCCTGAGCTGGTTGATGGCCTGCCAGTGGGCTGCCACCGGGGGAGGGGGACACAGTCCGAACGGATGGACCAGATGGTGGGGGGCAGGCGGGGGACGGGAAGGGAGGCATCAAGGATGCCCGTCGGTTTCTGGCCTGGGTGACCCGGCAGAAGGTCATTCCATTTCCTGAGCAAGGGACACCGCAGGACGGGCAGGCTTGGGGTGGACACGCTGAGTCTGGGAGGAGATGCCCGGGAAGTCTGGCGTCTAGGAGAAAGGTCTGGGCTGCGGATGTGGCCGAGGGTGAAACAAGATCCTGGGGCAAGTGGGAGGCTTGTGGGGGGTGGAGGAACCCCACCTCTGGAGCTGGTGCAGCAGACGTTATATAGCATTTGTTCTGTGCCAGACATTATCCTGAGCCCTTGTGTTACCTTATTAAAATCCTCCCAACAAACCCTCTGAGGGGCCCCGTTACCATCCTCACTTCCATCCCAATGGACAGTGAGAGGTCCCAAATGCCCCGGTTGGCCAGGGCTCTGACTGACCCAGGGCCCAGGCCCAGGCTGGGGATGCGGGGAGAGGCTCTGAGGGCTGCCTGTGTGTGTGAGCCGAGGTGGGGGCATCTGCAGAAGAGAGAAGGAGGACGCAGGCCTGCCTCATTGGCCCCTTCGGTACGTGGTCCGGCCAGCTCCCCTCCCCATGCCTCTGCCACCCCCACGGGCCCCAGGCCTTGCCTCTGTGACGGGGGAGGCCAGCAGGGAGATGGGGCCAGCTCTGCTCTCGGGACCTCTTTGGGGCCTGACGGTGGGTGAAGGGCACACAGTTCGCTCAAAGGGGTGCAGAGCTGGAGGGCTGGATGGGGTGGGCAGTAGGGGAGCAGAAAGGTTCCAGGGATAAGGGCCGGGGGGCCGGCACACGGAGGACGGTAATTCTCGGGCTGATGGGCGTTAGGGGCAGGGCCTGGGGCGTCCTGGCACAAACGGCCTGGTTCCCGGCTGTGAGCTCAGGGCCTGGAGCGCGGCTGCCCCACAGTGAGCCCGGTGGTGAGGCGGGTGTGCGGCCGTCGCTGCTGGCCAGAGTCCGAGCTAAAGGCCCCGGGGGGCTCCCAGCCCGCTGGGGGGGCAGACATTTTGCCTGATGACGAGACCCTGGGCAAAGGGTTCCCGGAAAGAGCTTGCCACTGCCAGCTTTGCAAGGTATGCAGGCACAGGGAGCGGTGACCCCGGGCTGGGCTTCAGTTTCTGGGGACAGGTAGCAAGCGGGATGCCGGCAGGAGCAGAGGCGTGGTGAGTGGAAACGGCGGTGCTTTGGGAAATAGTTGGTGACCTGGTGTAGCCAGTGTAGGGGGCCCAGGAGACGAGGGGGCTGGACAGGGGGACAAGGGGCTCTCTTCTGTAGGCAGTGGGAGCCAGGGAAGATGCGAGGGCTGGAAGAGAGGCCATGGAGGTCTGGAGAGCGTCAGAGGGGATGAGCATGGCTCTGCCTGAAGAGGCGTAGAGGGGCTGGACAGACAGCATGGGGGGGTGAACAGGACTGGGGACACGAGTGGGTATGGCCTGAGAGGTCAGGTGGGGGACCAGGTAGGGTGAGGTCAGGCAGGTGGTGGGCAGGTGGAATTGGAGGTCCTGAGGGACCCCCGGGTGGAGACAGTTGGTTTCATGGGTCTGGAGACTGGGATCCGGGAGTGCAGAGGAGCTGGTTCAGTGATGCTCCCTCAGGGAGAGTGGGCGCCTGGGCAGAGGAGAGGTGCCCAGCTGGGAGCAGGAGAGGGGGTCAGAGAAGGAGACGCATTGTCACAGAGGGCAGAGGGCCAGCAAAGTAGCTCAGAGAGACAGGGAGAGAGCTTGGGGCGGGGGTCCCAGAGCAGGCTCAGGGGCCGGGGGAGAATGGCGGGACATTCAGCCAGGAAGTATAGACAGCAGGTGGAGACAGGTCTTCCGGGAAGCTCGGCCGGGAAGACCAGGGGAGATATAGGGCAATGGCTGAAGGGGACTCGAGGATCGTAGGTTGTTCATAGAAGAGATGCTGATGGGGCATCGCAGAGGTGGGCTACGTGGGGGAGGGGCTCCTGGAGTGGGGGTGGGGTGGTCCTGAGCTGGATGGGGGGCCCTCCAGCTGGAGGGAGGGAAGGGAATGGGATGGGAGCTGCAGAGTCATTTGTAGGCCGAAGGAGGGGAGGTCAAGGGACTCCTGCCCAGGGGCCTCTCCTCTGTGATGGAGGACCGGAATGGAGAGGCAAGGGGCTGCAGGGGGTCCTGAGGTTTGGTGTCTCCACAGAAGGCCCTGGAAGAAGGACGCCTTGGGGATCAGAGAGGGTGGTTGGAGCTGGGGGAGGACCCAGCACAGGTAGTGGCTGGGCTGAGGGGGCCCGGGTCTAAAATGGCAGCGTCCTTTCTCTTCCGGCTGTTCTGAGCACAGACCATGTGCTCATGCCTGAGGAGCCATGGCCTGTCGTCCAGAAGCTTATTTGCAGCTTCCTGGAGGTGTTCCTCTCCTGGTCCGGGGCAGCCTGTCATCCCCTTGCCCAGTGCAGGAGGCAAAGCGGCTCCCAGACGCTTCCCACGGCCTCCAGGCACCTCCCTCCTGCCCCACTGGCTGCCAGTCCCCAGCTCGGCACACAGTAGGGCCTGGACACCGATGGCCTGCGTGCTTATATGCTCTTCCACATTTCCAAGCACCCCCCCGGAATTCCCTGTGCTCCCTCCCGGGAGGGGCTGAGTGGACCAGACTCTGAGGGCAAGCCTTGCTATGCCCCCCACCCCCATCAGCACGTCTCCCGAGGGAGTCCTGAACCCAGAGCCCCCGTCCTCCCCCTTCTGACAGTTTCCACAGCTGGGTGCTCTGATTTCGGAGCCCAGAGCAGAAGAAGAGGAAGGTCAGCAGAAAGGAGCACGGACGGAGGGACAGTGCAGGCAGAGGAAAACAGTTCCTTACCCTTAAAAATTTGCTAAGAGGGTCAATCTTATGTTAATTCTTATCGCAAAATAAAATAAAAAACAGGGTTGCTAAGTTGGCCTCATTGCTAACAGCATCTGCCACTTACTTTCAAGGGAGGACATAGAGCCACAGGGGAAGCACAGGACACAGGCCCTGCCTGGCGGCTGCGCGCCCCAAGACCCGGGGATGCCGCCCGTCACTGCTGTCACGACCAGGTACAAGGGGAGGCCAATTTCCATGGCGCTTTGTTAAAACAAACTCAGTATAAATAGTTCTGCCCAAAGATGTAGAGTATGACCCACTGGCTACCCCCTTAATGCTCAGTGGTCGGGGATTGTCACAGGCCTGTGACAGAGTATGACACAGCCGTTAAAAATGATGTTTATGGGGGCGCCTGGGGGGCTCAGTCACTTGAGCGTCTGGCTCAGGTCATGATCTCAGGGTTGTGGGATCGAGCCCCGCATCGGGCTCCGCACTCAGCAGGGAGTCTCCAGGAGATTCTCCCTCGCCCTCTGCCCCAGCTCGCGCGTGCACACTCGCTACATAAATAAATAAATAATAAAATCTTTTAAAAAATGATGTTTATGAGGAATTTTAAGGACATAGGAAATGTTTTTGGTATAATTTAAGTGAAAAGCAAGACGTGAAACGCTACAGGCATATGTGTAATTCAATAAAAAGCCAAGAGGAAAAAAACTACACGCTGTGAGCTCAACTTCATTTAACAATTACAGGAACAAACCTGAAAGAAAACTAGAAAAGGCTAGCCTTGTTATTTCTGGGTGGTGGAACCGCGAGTGATTGGAACGTTTTCAGGCTTTGTCTTTTATCGTATTTCCAAATTTCTACAATAAACGCTTTCCAATGTTGAAGTTATTGGAGATGAAGGTGTGGCGCGTAGCCTGTCTTTAAGAAGGAGTCCCACGTCTCTGGAAAATCTTCTTGCATGAACATATAAGATCTTGGAGTGTGTTTATATATTTTTCAGCTGGAGGTAGAGCTTGAATCAGGAAGGCATCTTGACTACAAATAATGGAAAACGCAATACCATTGAGGGGGTTGCTTGCTTCCCCCCACCTCCGGTGACAGGAAGTCCCCGTTAGGCCATCCAGAGCTGGTGTGGTTCCGTGATGCTCTTGCGGACGATCAAAAAGCAGACCTGTTGGGCGCCTGGGTGGCTCAGTTGGTTAAGCGACTGCCTTCGGCTCAGGTCATGATCCTGG